CAAGATGGAATCCTAGGCATAAAAAAAGAAGATCTGCAGCAATTTACTGTTTGTCATCAAATGTAATTAATTTGTTACAATGATTTGAAGTTACAATGTCAGATAAACACAGATCTCATTGCTGTTTTAGCAACCTAAGAAATAAGTTGTTTGTGTAGATGCATTTCCTGCACTCACATACATATAAAGCCATATACATGCCCTTTTCCTTGCACTCATGTCAGCAACATGACTTTCACATCTTCTGCAGATCAATTAGTTTTTACTTCTGCAGTTTTGGACAATTTAATCTGATTGCAAGTGCTCTGGGTAAACTCAGAATACGACCCATCTACCAAGTGTAACATCAAAGCCAGCACATCATTTTAAATTTTGCAGCAAACAGCAATAACTTGCAGAAGCAAAAGACTGCAGCACTACATCCTGAGTGAATCTGCTGCAAGTGGAACTTACGTCCTTTTGTCGTCGTCACTGTCAGGGCTGGACAAAGCCATAGTCAGAACAGTTTTGCAGGAACGGAAATGCTCACATTTCTGAGTAAAACTAATTCCATATCAGTATAAAAAAGAGTAGTCACAGTATCAGAACACATGATGACCAAGGCAAAAAAAGTATGACAAAAGTCAAAAAGGCTGCATTCCATGCATAGCAGACCAGTTCTTTTGATAAAATTATTTTCTGGTGAGATATGGCTTTCCAATCTAAACTAATTAATCTAAATTAATCATTACAGCCTTTTTCTAAGAATATCCTAATTTTGCAATTTAAATATACTTTTCCCCAGCTTACTTTAAAAGCCTCAATTTAAAGGCATTTTAATTTATTTCAAAATTTTTTAAATGTTTGAAACTTATGTTCCTGTTTGTTGTAAAAACTGATTTCTAAATCACCTTCGGCATGACACATTTAGTTTTTATTTTTTGCCCCTTAAAAACTGGCTTTTTCCAAAGTGTGAATTGCCCAAGAGTTACACCCACACACAGGTGGGTGGACAAGCTAAAATATTCTGTTTACACACTGTCTTTGAACAGACCATACACATTTCAAAATGTGTTTGGCATTTGGTTGAATGCAATTTATAAACATCATAAAATGAGAACAAGTTGTCAAGATTTTATGGAATTGCTTTCAAATAAATAATTTGTCCATTTTCTTTTTCCTCGTAAGGCCTGATCCAAAATATGCTGAAGTCATTGGAAAAACTGTGACTCCACTGGGCTTTGCATCAGACTGTATTTATTCAGCCTATAGAGCTGGCTAAATAATTCACAGATTTATTCAGTGAATTATTCTTCTGATAAATTTTATGATTTTGAGCCTAAACTATTTGGAAGTAATAATAGTGTCCATTATTCGTTCAGCTCTAAATCATACTAATTTGTAAACAAAAGTGATAACTAAAGAAGCACTGGAGGAAATTCTTTTTTTTTTTTTTTTTTTCCACTTAGGATAGATGTGATCTCAGGTTTGGTTAAAGGAGATATGGGAGCAAAATGATGTCTCTGCTTCTGTTTGCTGCCAATATGATGCATGTCACATCCCATCAAGGACTTTCTTGCCACTTCCTGACTGTGCTAAGTAAGAGAGCAGCCAGTTTATGAAACATCTGCTTAGCCATAATTCAGACTTGGGTGCTACTTATCTGAAAAGGCAACATTTCTGGCAGTCAGTTTGGGACAGCTCCTTGCCCTGGGCAGGATGGGCTCATCTTGCCCTCTTAAGGACAGCCAGAAGGCTGCGATGCGAATGAACACGTACAGGCACCACTACCAAGTGAAACGGCTTTGTTCTTCTCGTCTTGTGAAAGGATTTTCCCAATGTCCTATGGGAATACTAGCTCCCACTGAAAAGGCAGCTAACCTGCTGGAAACAACTGTGCAATCCCAAGCTGGAAGCCCAAAAGCTTTTGAAAAGAAACAGCTTCCCATATGCAAAACAGTTTGGCTGGGGCTGCGCTATTTATCTTTGCAACAGTACCCTGGACAGGACCAAGGGCTTTAGCTGTTACTATGAAGAGCAGCTATTCTATGTGAAGCTTCACAGGAGCAAATCGACATTTGATATCATTTCTTACAGATATTGCAATTCTCTCTCCTGTATATTCTGCCAAAATATATGCATCCAAGTGCATTTGGCTGAAAACTTGGCATACAAATAGGAGTGTCTTCCATCAATTTGTTCTCAATTCACTGAACAGGTAGATTAGTCAGGCAAAGAGCACAATATATAAAGGCAAAACACTGAGCCGCTCACTGGCAAATGCCTCACCTCAGAATTAAAGGTTTTTGACCTTTCATTGCAAACGGTTTAAGGGAAACGGAAGTTTAACAACAATGCTTTACTTGTTATAGCAATCACCACCAATACATCCCATAGTAAAGGCTATCTCACAAATGGAGACACTCTCAGGGCAGTGAAGCAACAAGCTTTTAATAAACAGAAGACTATTTGGCCATTACAAAGTGCACATTACAAAAGTGCACTTTTATTTTAAAGTGCATACATAAGGTGAAGGCCAGTGTGTTCCTCTACTCCTGGAAAGACAATCAATGGTGAGGAAGCAGAGCTGCAAGGAAAAGCATGGAAGACAGGCCTCGCTCCTCTTCTTTCAACATCCTGGAGTTGTCTGGCCTCTGCCTGCCCCAAGGAAAGAGAGGTTTTCAGGAACAGACGACTAGAAGATCACTTTACCAGACTTTCGGATCTGACAATATTAGACCTGAGCAAATACCGCCTAATATTGACGTTCGTTCAAGATAAAATCCTTTCCACTGCTTAAATATACCTTGTAGTTTCCAACAGGTAACAGAATGTCTTCTCTCATACTGGATTTGTTTGATTCACAGCCAAACCGTGCACTGATGCTTGCAAAGTGCTTGTGATGAAATCATAGTTCTGCCTTTTTTTGTTAATATTCCCACATCTGCAGATTGACTGAGTTTGCTCTTAGCGGTCTTCAGCTCCTAGCCTTACCACATATTTACTCAGTGCTGTAGTGGTAGTGCAGCTATTACAGCCACAATATAAGACTAGACTTAGGGAAACAAGACTGTAGGGAAGTCATATTTTATGTCAGAGTGGTTAAAACAGCTGAGAAAATCAGAAACTTAATAATGGGACTGTGTGATCAAATGCTTTTCCCCTTTTCCAATTTCCATTCCTCTAATGAAAAACATTCTCTCTGCTTCCAAATCTCAAGTCTCTTTTTTTCCTCTTATACTACTTTCCCATAAATCACTCCTTCCGCTCTCTGGATGGATAAAACTCTTTGTCTCTGAGCTGCCTGAAAGCCTGTCATGGCCATCTAGTGACCACTTAGAAGTGGCGGCTATAAATGCTGTCCAAGACATTGCACAAACTGCTGCACGTTGTTCTCAAAGTCCTGCTAAAACGAGTGTTGCGTCTTCCTGGATTTATTTTATTCTAAAAATGCTCATAGAACCTGACATAAAAATTGCTTTTAAAAATATTAATTAAAAATATTAATCATTTTTTAAGAAATAATAATCAGCTTGTTTTAATCATTTCACTGGCAATATGTATACAATGTACTTTAGATGATGGAAGCTCACCTTTAAGTGGTCTATATTCAGCTAAGGTCATAGTAAATGGATGCTATTCTATTTTATGTAAAAATTGCTTGAAACAACAAAATAAACTGCAAGATATTGCTCTCCAGGCAGGCTTTCAAAGGTATTTGACTGCATACTAGTGGATTCTGGCAAACTCGGCCTCTCATTTTTTCGGAGAGAGCGCTTCAGGAGGTTATCAGATCATGTTGGACAGAAAACAAAATCTAGCTTAGATTAATACCTTGGCAGTCCTGAAAGCCGAATAATCTTCCCTCAAGTCCTTTCCTTTTTATTTATTTTCTTTTTATGCTCATTTATTTATTTTGAGACATTTACTTACCATATTTTATCTGTTTTTCTACACTGATGTAGGAGGGTTTGATTCTCCATCACGTAAAGGCTCTTTTATGACACTTCCATGATGTCAAGTAGACTCAATGGATGCAAACACCCTTTTGCAATAGGCCTCCTGACTGATTTAGATCTGTATAAAGCAAGATACCAGCCCCATTCCAACTGTAGTATAAAGGGAAATTTGGATGTGACTGAAATCATCTGGCTATGAATGCCAGTTATATTACGCATGTAAACCCAGTTACTTTCTTATCACGAGACCAAAAATGCACATACCACATAAAGAAGGGCAGAGCTAACTCCCCTTCCTGGCAGTAGGGGCTTCAAAGGCTTCAGTTTAGAGCCTCACTTAAATATTTTGGTGATTCAAAATATATGAGAAAGGGTAAGAGTATTCCACTAACCACTATTTTATGAACTGATGTGCAAAATACAGTTGAATAAATAACAATGCAAAGATAGTTTTCCAATAATTCGCAAAAACTTTTCTACCTTCTGTATGTAGTACTCACCACTTTACCCAGTGACCATCTTCCACGTGATCATGAATATTTAGCAGTTCAGGACATATTTGTGCTGAAAGCTGAGACACTGAATGGTATCACAACTCTTACAGCCTCTGGAATGCTCTTCAAACTGAAAAGAGTGAATAAAATTGGCTAGTTGTAGCAGGAATCAGATATTAGTACTGAACTAAAACCAATCCTCTTGACTGAAGGCTGGACAACACACAGTGACAGTGATAGAAAAAAAAAAGCAGATTTCAAAGACAATCTGTAATGTCAGAAATCCAGAGGCTTCCTTCAGAGCTGGATGATGCTCTGAGAGAAAAGGTGAGTCAACAATGGGTGAAAATAAAAGGATTTGGCAGAATTTCATTTCCATTCTCAGATAGGACTGTGAACTTTGAGAATTACTTTTTGTTTCTTAGAAGGTGGCTTTCTGCTAAAATTATACACAAAGTAGCCCTAATTCTCCTCTCTGTGACCCTAGTATGAACATACAAAGGTCCAATCAGTTTTACATAGGCTGGAAACCAGGCTGCTTTTTTCTTCTGCAGATGCAATAGCACCCATATAACTAAGCCGTTCTTCCCAATATGTTACCAACAAAAGGATTATTTCTAATCCAAGACTTTGATTGTAACTTGTCTAGAATAATTTCTCTTCCATGTTCCATATAAACAAGAGCAGCAGCTATATTAGATACAGGAAAGTGTGATGGTAAGTCTCAAGAACGGTTCTTGCCATACTGAATGTTGCCTTCAGGACTGGTTTCTGGCAAGCTGTAATAATGTAACCTGACTCTCAGCTATCCTGACCTGTGGCTATTGTCATATACTTTCCCAAATCATCTACAAGATGTTGAATGAACCAGGCATGACTTCTTTTTGCTGTGCAACTGTGTGAAGCGTGAAGAATACAACTCAGTATCATGGACCACATGGCCCAGAATAATTCTGTGTGCAGAAATGACTCAGTACCCAGGGAAAACTTTCAAGCTTGCAAAGACGTGACATTTTCCTAGAAAGCTGTTAAACTGATTAATGCATTCCCCTCTTGTCCTCCCCTCCTTTAAAGTCTGGCCAGATATGTTGTGAAGCTCTGAATGTTCCTGGGCACTGAAAACAATGTGAGAAAGAAGCCATAAAAAGTATTGAACCAGGTGTGAACTCAGTTTGGACAATACTCCGTATTCGGTGCTTTGAGACCATTTTGGGGAAATGTAGCAATCCAAGTATCAAGAGCCAGACATAGTTTCTACTCAGGCAGCCCATGTTTCAGGGCACCTATTTTATTTCCTGTCCTGGAAAAATTGAAACGTGGTCTTTAAGTAAGTTGGTTCTGCAAGCCTCATTCCTCTGCAGGTTGGATGAGTCACTCTGCTGGCAGGGCCTCAGTCCCGAGTGCTTCTGGCCTAAACTACTGAGAGCAACTCTGGGGACCTCAGAAGCAATATCACTGCCACAAGCCTGGCAGGAGCAACCTTCCCTCCCTTCCTTTCTTCCTCTCTCCAAAGATATCTGGAAAGCCCATTGGGGCCCCCTCCAGAGACAGACATGTAGTGCAGTGAAAACAGGTGACATTGGTGACTAGTATAAGCAAATCTGAAGACGATGCTTTGGTGAAGGAAGGCTAAAATGGGCAATGTTTCCTCACCGTCTTAAAAATTGTAATTAACTAGCTGAAAGAGATGATATAGCTAGATATAGCTATATATCTCCTCTGTCTAGAAGTCATCTTGAATTTGGTCATAGGAAGCGACATATTAGTGAATGTACCAGAAAGAGCTCAAGCATTCTCAAGGAAACAGGCTCAGGATTGCCTTCAAAGACAATATGTACCACTTGCTTTATTGTAGACAACCGTCTCCTATGTGAAATAGCTAGGCAATACCTCTACTCTAGGTTCACCTCATAGAAATCTCACAGAAGTTACTTAGGAAATCTTGACTGCTGTATAAAACTCAGCACAAAATAGTATCACTTTAGTATGCTTAGAATCACAGTTATCCCATAGGGAGGTGTGCAAAAACCCATTTTTTTGGAAAAGATGCCTTACTATGTACCAGTGAGGTCAGCAGACTGAGAGCCAAGGTATCCAGATCTGTTTGTCACTGAGGTAACCTTGGACAAACTCTGTCCCCTCTCTTTATCTCAGTGCATGTCTTGCTGAGATGATTAAATAGGACCTATGTCAAAGAGAGGCAGCAAAAATTACTAAGATTTGTAGTGGGGCTTGAAGCATTCAGGAAAAAAAAAGTACCATTCTAGGGCTGACTACCAATACCTATCATGAGAAAATTACCATATATTATTACGTAGAGCCACAGAGTTGCTAAAGACAATATCTGTAGTGCAATAAATGAGCACGAATGTAACTACCTGAGCTGGCAAGAGAAGCTCTTTTCTCACTGACAGAGCCTCCAGCATGTTTAGATGCAGTACTTTGTTTTCTCCAGAGCAATGGTGACATTTTAGATCATCTTCTGTGCTATAAATGGAATACTGTGATCTGCTGAACATTTGCCACCTAGAAGACCATTTCCTGGTGTCTGAGTCATTAACTTTCTTGGATGACATTGCCACATCTGTAATGAAAAAATGTAATGTGTTGCTAATTTATGAGGCTACTGTAGTGCTGGTATTTTAAACTCCTTGGGTGTGAATAGCAAGGGCTGGCTGGTATTTGAAATCTCTTCGGCAATATTAGCTCACGCTGGACGGCATTTGAAATCGTTCTGGCACTCTGGGGCATTAGAGGCAGAGAGAGCAGTAGTGGCCAGTGTAGGTGCTGAGATAATGTTTCCCAAGGTGAGAACTTTATTTTTACTGATAGGAGAGGAGCGCATGTGAACAAGCCCTTAACAGGGCTGCTGGTTCTCAGATTCGTGCTTTGAACAGAATACGTGCAACAGTGTTCCTGTAGAAAAATGAAACCACTGACTTCAGATTTATCTTTTAACAATAGATGGAGAGGAAACAAAACTCCCTTCTGTGAGAAAGGCAGAGCTGGACAGTAAAGGGTGGTTTTCACTTTAAAAAGTAGGAAATTAAATCATTTTCTATGGCCTTATTGCAAGTCTTTTGGGGACCATTACTAGCACCTAGAATGACTTTGAGTATAATATAGGACATAAAATTGTACCCGTTCAGTCTGCTTTGAGCCCAGTAACTTCCACTCAAAGTAGGCCATCTGTTCTGGAGACATTTGCAGGCTTGGTTCTAGAAATACAAGCTAGCTGTGGATCCTCTGACTGCAACATCATGTTACTACATTCATTGAGTATCCAGATTATTGCCAGACTTCTAATTTCACCATTTGCCTTCTTAATTGATCTGTGCCTTACGAGATTTCAGAGAAAAACAGATTCCCTATTCCTATTTAGCAGAGAAATGAGAGAATCACAACAAAACCAAACCAAGGAGTACAGCTCATGCTAAGGAATTCACCTTGCAGTGAACAGTGCCCTGTCCAAAGACAGCAAACAGGCTGCGCGTGCTCCTGCTTCAGTGTCCAGCAGAAAACCATGTTACTGCAAATTCTAATATGATGATTTTAGAACTATATCTATTAAATCATTATTAAAATCTAAACAAGTTGCATGTGAGGCTTATATCAAAGCACTCGAGAAGACCTTTGTTTCAATGACTTATCTGTAACTGCATGTCATCCACGTAGGTTGATAATCAACAAACATAAGAACAAGAAATCATAATGTCTCTCGGGTCTCACCTGATTACCCCAGCGCTCATCCCTTTGGCTGGGAGGAAGAGCAGTCCTCTCCTAACTAATCCCAATTCCCTTCTTTCAAAATATAGAATGTAAGTGAGTTTGGCTGCAGATGATGATGTTGCCATTATTAGTAACACCCTAAATAGTTTCAGATCCTGGCTGGGAATTTAACTCCTAGGGACTTGGCTTGGCAGGATCTCCTCTTATTAGACCCTGCGCAGAGCAGAGTGTGAAACAGCCTTGGCGTCCTCTCCAGGGGCACTGACAGGCCTGCATGCTCTATCACAGGCTATTACACACTCAAATTCACTGCCTTTAAAATCTGTGGGCAAAACATATATCCTCGAAATACCCATGAAGTTCCTTAGTCTGCCTGAATTATTACCCTGTAATTTTAAATGCATTTTTTGACAGGAAATAAGGATTTGGTATGACATCCTTTCCTTCGTGTTGTTTCTGTAACTGTCCAGCAGTCTCCAGAGGAGGGACTGAACTGGAGGAATTCAGTTGCATGACCCAGAACTTTATGGCATAAATTAGCAGATGAGCTTGAACTGCCTTGCGAAGAGCAACAGGGATCCCCCGAGACAAAGCGGTGAAAGATACCTGGCTAGGAGAAGACCCTTTAAAGCTTCACAAAAAGACTTCTAGAGGCTAAAACTTGTAACAATCCTTGCTAGGATCACCAGCAGGGAATAAACCACAGGTCTTTTGCTCAGGCTCACCAGCATCAGCCTCTTGAGCCCAAGACCTCTGGCATGCTTACCCTCTCTGCACTGGAGGCCGAAATACCCACGTACCCTCAGCAACGGAGAGAAAAGGCATCACTGCATGGGGTGCCAGCTGCCCAGAGCTGCTTACCTTTCTGCACTGGCCATAGCAGCAAAGAATCTCCTTGCCGAGCACATGAAGGAAACTGCTGAAGTTACACGGGAGAAACCTGGGTGTAGGGTCCCAAAAGTGCCTGGGAGTCCCACAGGCAGATAATGCTCAAGGGGGCATGCAGTCTCCAATAGGGCTGGCAGAGTGTTTTCATTCAAATGTTTTCAATAGCAATGGCGTCTTCACAGAAACTGCAGCTTCTTTTAAATGTGGTTTTTGATTAAAGTGTATTTTTAAAATGAGAAAAAATTGATAATGGCTTCAAATATTTTCAGAATATGCTTCTATTTTTTCCTGAAATATATATTAAAATTCATTGCCGTTAATATCTGCTTCATATTTCAGACATTTTAAAATAGAAAGTTGAACATTATATTTAAATAATCCAGAACTTCTTTTCCCCTCACAGATTTTGCACTGAGGGAAAAAACCCAAACCCTGTGTTCATCGTGGCTTTGGAATAGAAAGTTATACAACTATGGGATTTCCTAAAAGCCAGACAAGCAAGTACTACCAGCCTCTTCATTCCTTCTTGCACTTTTGAAAACATTAAGTTCATGCAGGTCAACAGAGTTCCATTAATGTGAGCAGACGGCATTGTCATCTAATGAATTTTAGTACAAATTCATGTTCTAGCAACAGAGAATCAGCTGAAGATTGAGGCCTCTTACAGTTAATTATATTATAAAGACAATCTAGTTTATTATAATGCTCCTTGGCACAATAAATCTACAGTGACCTTAACCATGATTTTTTCTGTCAGCTCAAAAACATGATCTTTGTTCTTGGTTAGCCAAGTGATTTAGTGTGTCCAGCAACAGATTATTTCATTTACGCCTTCCGTCTATTCTTCCAACATCACTGATCCAGGTAATAAAGAACCAGGTTCACAGCTATTATCTCTGGTTAATCTGTCATAATTGTCTACATCTTAATGCTGAATTGCATTTAATACAGGAGCTTCATTGTGTGCATCAGATAAGTTCAAAAAAAATGACCTTGATGAACACACAAGCCATTTTAGACTCCACTTGACTAAAAATATCTCATTTAGACATTCTAGGCAGCTGCAATGGTCCTTGTTCTTCTGTTTTACTGTTGGTTTCTACAATACATTGGCAATAATATCTGTAAAGTGCCTTTTCTTACAGTAGGAATACTACCGATAAATAAATGATAGAAGTTGCCATCAGAGAGCGAGTTTGCATACACACACTGGTATTGTGTATTTTGTCCTTGATTACTCACTTAAGTTATACTCTGCTCCGCTTGACCAAGGTTCATGGCTGAGATCTGTTGTGTTCCAAAGGATGCTTTTCTTGTTTCCACGGACAGATTGAAGAAATAAAACCTTAAAAAAAAAAGAAGGCAAGCAAGTCAGTAGGTTTATTTCAAGATTAAAGAGATCCAGGGCCTTTAGTATCACATCACTGTATTACATTCTCAGATGACATTAGAAACTCTCCATTGCAATGCTGAAATGATTTTTTTTTCCTGGAAATCAAAGAACAGAGGAAGAATAGGCAACAGCGATATCAAGAACATAACAAAACAAAAAAAATAGAGAAAGAACAGACACCTATCAAGCAGAACCAGGGATGTCAGCTGAGACACTGAGTTCTTGCTCTACTTTGACAAGAAACTTACAGCACACAAAACATTTTGCTTCGGGTATGTCCTCCAGTGCCTGCCATGGAGTCTCTATGGGAAGGTGACGTTTTCCTTTTCTTCTGACTGGTTATGTGCTCTGGGAAATGTAAAAATATCATCATGGCATGCATAAGAGAGAAGTTAATTAGTTTAACTTCCTGATGGGAATATATTAACAGTGTAATAAATGCTCAAAGACTGTCTTTATGATTGTCCCTGCCAAAATAGTTGTTGGAAAGCCTTTTTTTTAAAAAAGAAGGGTTTTTTCTCCATATGGAGATCCAGATGCTGACTCTGATCTTTGCGTGGCAGAGGTCAGCAACTAGCGGCAGACTCAGCCCACGTGTTTCAGCAAGAGGCACCTCCAAGACTGGAACTGGGAGGATCCTTTGTCAGGAATAATATCTGTAAACAACACTCTCCAAAATCCCTCTATGAAGCCAGAGGGAATCATTTCCCTGTAACAACCCACCGTGTTACAAGAGGAAGAAAGAATACTCTATTTTTTTAATCGCCAGTCAATGCTTTTGCTATTTAAATTCTCTTGTGGCTAAGTTCAAATGCAATTTGTCCAGCACAGTCATTGCCCAAAGTGGACAACATAATTAATCATCTATCCTTATGTACTTGTGACTCAAAATGACTTTTAGCTAAACACTTGTACCCTAGCTCTCCTCTTGATTAATCCTGAACCATGTAAGCATGAACGTTACTACTAGCTGCCTGCTTCTGTCAGCTGGAATGTCACTTTGGAATTTAATCTGATGAAAACAAGCCATAGTATGATGATTTCCTCACTGTTCAAAAAATGCCATTTATTTTACTTTTGAAATAATTTTTAAAATAGATTTTCAGAGAGCTAGGATGACCAGTGTGATATTTCATTCTGAAATACTTTCTAAAATTATACATAAAATATCTATCCTGCTTAAATACTGAATATGAGTGATGTAGAATTACATTCCCTATAATAAAACCTCAAACCAACGTCCAGTTTCTTTATACCTGTCTAGACAAGAAAAATCCTTCTTGAAAAGCCCTACAACCTTAAGATCATCATTTACGAGGACACTGTCTCCTAGGCTATTTATACATTTATCTGTACCTCATAGAAATCTTTGGTAGGACACACAGTCTTGTTTCTATTTCCCTGCTTTATAAAGGCAAACAACTACATTTAGCTGATTTTTTCTCTCCAAGAAATGTGTTCAATAAATGCTAAAGAGGCTAAATCTTCATGCAGTATAGGCAGCAGCATGTTCATTTATGTCATTCCAGGTTTATAAGTAAAAGGGACAGCAAAATCTTTTTTAAATACAAAGGAACAGTGGCAAATTTCCAAGGATTTCAGGAGATCAGGCAGCCCCTTTCAACGCTAGGATATTTCAGATTGCCGTAACATTGTCTTGGCTGATTCAGCCTCCTCATTAGTAACTGCTTGCATTAAACAATTATAAAAACATTAGAAGGTATCAACACAAAGGCCTGCTAAAATAAAAAAATTCCAGATTAAAAGAAGAAAATAGAAAGCCTGCTGTCACTGTGCATCTGATCTAGAAGTCCCCATATTCTTTTGCTGTTGAATTAAACAACCATCTTTTTGAAAGGCCTCTCTTGTGCAAAATAAATTGATTTGACACATAAATTGTTCCCATTTTGCAACTTTTCTATAAGGCTAAAAGTTGTTGCCAAAACAGCAAGCATTACAAAAGACAAAAGAGAAGGAAATAACATAAAAAACTTGAGTTAGAAAGTGAGAGTAACTGCCTTCCAGTACCCACCAACTGCAGGACAGGGGTGCAAGAACTGGAATCTTCGAGCAGACTCAGATCTCATGCTGGGAAAGGAATTTTTTCAAAGTGACTAGCTCCATTTCCATCGCCAACACCTTCAGTTACAAGCACTTTATGAACCAGGCACTTTTTCTCACCATGAATAGTGACAATGTGGTCATGAGAAGGAAGGAACGAAGGAAGCTGCAATATGATTTTCTGGTCATCTGCCCACAGTCGGTTGTACAAGAAAATCAAACCTGGTGCCATATCTGAAGGGAAAACCCTGAACATGAGCTTTGAATATCACTATCTTTTAAATTTTTGGATAGACTGGGGAATATTTTAATCAAAAAGATAAAATACATCTTCTGTATATTTCAGCTATCCTTTGTGCATGTGATGACCTCTTTTTCCCAAGAAGCAATAATTTCTAGTAGCCTGTTTATTTGAGGCCATCTGCAAGTTTCACTGATGCCAGAGAATAAGATCCTCCTACCAGCTACTGAGGTTAGCTCCGAGGGCCAGCAATGGCAGTGCCCAGGGTTGCAGCTGTGGCCTTGCTGCTGAACCCGCTTGGAGCTCTGCGGACCGGGAGCCAAACGCAGGGGCATGTGCGACGTGCAGGTTTGTTACCTGTGAAACTCTTCCAGACAGCAGTTTGAGTTTTCTGTGCTGGATAACACCGTCTATATCCCTGGTTGTGCTAACCAGAGTAATGGTGCTGGTGTTTTGGGACAGCTCATTTCCCTGCTGATACGAAAATGAGTATACTGATATACTATATTAGTCCCTCTGAATTCACACTAGCACCATGCTACCACTTTTATCATACTGGTATAGCTAAAGTACTACAGCCAAGCCCTGCATAACCATCTTCCATCAGGACAACTGCTTCACTTGGAATGATAACTAAAGTACTTCTACACATTATTTATTTTGAATGAAAGAGTTTAGTATCCCTTTAAGTTTTTTAAGAACTTTAAATAATCAATATTTACCTGATACATTTCATTTATTTTAAATTGCAAGAATGACACTTCCTTTACTCTCAGACTACTGTCTGCTTCTAGTAGCCAAGTAAATCCCACAGCATGCTGTATATCTCCTATCACAACTGCTCCAACGACTTTTAAATATGCCTTGATTCTTCCCAAGCGTTATTGTGTTCTGAGATATTGGTGTAACCAATCGCTTTTCAAATCCATCTGTGTTCTGCTCAGGTAACTAAGCATATTAATATATAACAGAAATGCACTTTGATAAGAAACCTTACTGGTTATTAACCAGTTACACATTTTCCGTATTTTTTCATTCTGTAAAAATTTAAATGACAAACAAGAGTTGTTATGACAGCCAACTTGCCATCTAGCACCACCTTGAGGTTAAACTGATCCTGGCATTCTAAAACAAATGGACGTTGCTGGATCATAAATTCAGTAGAAGTGCTAGAGTATTGCAGATAGCTATTTTTTTAATGAAAAAGGACAAGTAATTGATTAGTTATAATATAAAGGTCCTACAATTTTTTTTCTCTGCTTCGACTTTGAGACACTTCTGTTCTGTTCATTCTGCTGGTAATTAAGCTGTAAACTTGTATTCCAAAGGAAGAGTGGAATATTCTGCGTTTGCATTTTGAAACAGGACTAGACACCTCACTCAGAAGCGAGCTAAGGCAAGATTAGATTGCATAGACAAGTTCTTCCACAAGTACTTTCCATATTCATTTGGACTAATTATATGGTTTCTTTATGTACAAAAGCATACTTTTACAAAGCATACCTTATTCTAAAAGGTACTAGGCTGCCCAGGTACAACTCATCTTGTAAAACAGATTTCTTCCTAAACGAAAATATCTGGGTATGACTGGATAAGACATTCTGAAGTTCTGAAACATAATGAAAACGTCCGATAGACCTATTGAGTTAGAAGCTTTTTCACTGCTCACCTTATCATGACACGAAGCTTATCATGAAGCTGATCATGACATTGGATCATATTTCACATCATGATTGTGGTACAATTATGGCTTGGAAAGGAAAGTGGATCAAGTCTGTCATTTCTTCAAGGAAGCCAGGCAATAATGAAGAAATTTGGCTGAGTGTCACCAGACAGGGACAGGAGCAAGAAACTTGCAAACTCTGAGACTTCCTAAAAATATAGGTGTATGTTCTGTTTATGTTAACAAGGAGCTGCTGAAACACCAATCAGCTTTAAAACAAATCTGATCATGTGTCTGTGCTATTGAGCTGAACTACCTGATAAAACTGATGGTTCTATCATGACAATTTGGGCAGAAACAGCCTCAGCTTTATGAGCACCTCATACGGAAAGACTCACTCGTGTAGTCCTTGCTCTGTCTGTGATGTTGTGTTGATTATCGTGTTTGGAGACTCATCATCCAAAAATTGTGCCACTTGCAACAGCCAATAATTTCTTTAAGTTGAAGATTCAGGAAAGCTACAGAATCTAAGACAGTTTTGCGCTTCATACGGACACTGGAACATGTAGAACACAGAGGAAAACAAAAAAGAAAATCATACATAACACTACGTTTCAGCCCTTAGCGCACTTTGTCATTTCTGGCTCAAAACCTGCTGGCAAATGTGAAGTTGGGAAATAGCTAATTGGTTTAAAATTCACCCGCTCTTCTCAAAGTGTCTACGTGATGTTCAGTTCCATAGGGAGGTGATGTTTCAACGCATATGGAAGGGTTGGATCAGATATGAACCTATCTTCATACTCCCAGCACAACACATCAAACCTCTAAAACTAATTGCCGTATTGTTATTTTCTACTTCATGGCTCTGTGAAAGCTCCTTTCATTTTGCAGTAATATACACTTAAAATTGCAGGGCTGATCCTGCTAAAACACTTGGTCTTTCAATGGTTTGGCTTAGAGGTTTCAGTATAGTTTAATGCAAATTAT